TCCGCTTGGCGTGCACCCAGTGATGTTCGGATGGATTGCTCTGGAACTGACTGAAGTAATTCACCGCTGCGCTGAGATCTGATCTGGACGTCACCATCAAATAGGTGAGGTAACCTATCAGCTCACGATATGGCTTCTCCAGCTTCTCGTCCGTGTCGTTCTTCACAAGTTGCAGACCCGCTTCCATGGGAGTTGATACGGGCTTGCACTTCTCCATTTCGAATCGCTTCAGGATCGATTTCGTGTAGTGTTCGCCCATGTCCTGCATCGAGAACTCCGACTTCAGCAGTTTCTTGATGGTACCGATGACACCCAAGGAACGAGAGACGACGAGAATATCATCGACATACAGCAGCAGGAACACCTTCTCACCATCACGCTCACATACGTACAGGCAGCTGTCACTCTCGGATCTGCGAAAGCCGATCTGGGTTGCAAACTCGTGAAAATAGTCGTTCCACGCCTTCGATGCCTGCTTCAAACCGTAGATGGATTTGTTTAGCTTACAGACTCGATCCCCCTCCTCAAATCCTGGAGGTTGACGCATGTAGATCTCCTCCGATAGATGACCGTTCAAGAACGCCGTCCGGACGTCCATCTGGTGGATCAGCAAATTCTCCTGGTTTGCCAATCCCAGCACCATTCGAACCGTCGACATCTTCACCACCGGAGCGTAGGTTTCAGAGTAATCATATCCATACCGCTGCGTGAATCCTTTAGCTTGAACACCCATTTGCAATCCACCGGTTTTCGTCCCGACGGTAGATCCACCAGCTCCCAGGTATTGTTTTCAGCTAGTGATTTCAGTTCGTCCTTAATGGCTTCACGCCACCGCGGCCAATCCTCTCGCGACTTCATCCTTTCAATGGTGTCCGGTAGGTTCTGCACGTAGTTCTCCGCATTCATCGCGTACGCCAGGCATGAGTAGTCGCCCAACTTTGCCGGGGCCTTCCGTACACGTACGCTTCTTCTCGGGTTAACCTCTTCTTCCACCAGTGTTTCAGCGTTGTCGTCATCCTGGTCGTTCTTGGAGGGTCAACTTGTTCATTTGCTGGCTCAATTGCAACTACTGGTTCATCTGGGACCACCGCCTGCGATTCCGGTCGGGTCCAAACCGGTTGCGCTTCGTCGTCTTTGACATTTTTCACAGGTTCTTCGCTGGTCGACGTATACCTTGATTCATTCACGATGACGTCACGAGCAAGAAACACCTTCTGCTTGTGGCTGTCCCACAAACGATACCCGTTCGTATCGTAGCCCACGAAGTAACATACCTGGCTACGCGCGTCTAGCTTCGATCGCTTCTCCTTGGGAATGAAGCTGTAGGCCTTGCTCCCCCAGATTCGGAGTTTGGACACGTCTGGTTTGTGCCTGTACCACATCTCGTACGGCGTCTTCTTGTTCAACGCCATCGTCGGGCTCCTATTGACGATGTACACCGCCGCTTGAACTGCTTCGCCCCAAAGCTTCTTCGGTAGGCCAGAATCTTGAACCATCGTCCTCGCTTTATCCAGGATCATCCGGTTCAAACGCTCGCTTACGCCGTTTTGCTGTGGCGTGTATGGAACGGTGTACTCCACTAGCATTCCACGGTCTCGGCAGTACTGCTGGAACTCGTTGCCGACGTAGTCTCCGCCGTTGTCGCACCTAAGGCGACGGATCTTGCTGTCGAAATGCCCCTCAGCCATGCTCGCGTACTGCTTGAAGACCTCCAGTACCTAATTTTTCGCCGCAAGGATGTATACGGCGCTAAAATGGGTAAAATCGTCGGTGAATGTAACGAAATACTTTTTTCCGTTCCAGGCTGTCGGGGTCAGGAAACCGCACACGTCACTATGTACCAGCTCCAACGGCTTGTTGCATCTCGGAACTGGTACGTCTCCAAAAGGCTGTCTCGCATGCTTCCCAAGCACACAAGGTTCGCACACTTCGTTGTCTTGAAATGCGTCCTTCCTCAGCACCATGTAGTTCACCATCTCGTTGCGCACCAGAGTCTTCAGACCACTCTTGCCAATGTGGCCGAACCTCCGATGCCACAGCTCGTACTCGTTCACCGGCAAGACTACCAGCGCTCCATCCACTGGTCCACGCTTCACGGTGGCGTTCAGCACGTACAGCTTGCCGGACAATTTACCAGTGGCAACCACTTAGCTGCCGTGCTTGATTTCCACAGCATCACCTCCAAACGTCACACGCATCCCAAGCTTGCCGATGCGCCGAATGGTAAACAGGTTGTACTGCAGTTCCGGCACGTACAGGACGTCATTCACCACGCTGTTGATTTGACGCTTTCCGACCATCGAGACCATGCTTACCGTGCCAGAGTGATAGCTGTACACGACCTTTGTGGAGGCCACCACGATTGGCACCGGATTGTCCAGCTTCACCACGTCTTGAAGGCAATCCGCTGACTGCACCATGTGTTCAGAGGCGCCTGAATCGAGAATCCACCAGAACTGACTCAGATTCCCACCGTCACGCTTCGCTTCACCGTCCGACTCCGTTACAAACGCCACTCCGGACCCAGCGACGTTGGCCTTTTCCTTCCTCTTCGGCTTCCCGGACGACTTCCGTTGGTCCAAGTCCTTCTTCATGGGGTAGTTTACGCGTTTGTGACCCACTTTGGCACAGGAAAAACACTTCATCTTGGGCCGCTCACTGAAAAACGCCGACTTACCATCCAGAGTGCCTTCTGGTTCGCAGTTGTTCTGACGCTTCACGTTTTCACTCAGCAACCTGGCCTTCACAAATTCGAGTGTGCACTGATCCGCCGGCAGGGTTTCGAGGACTGTCACCAGCTGCTGGAACGATTTCGGCATGGTTTGCAGCAAATTGAACATCACCAGCCGCTCGTGCATCACGATGTCCGCCGAGGCCAGCTCCCGGATGATCCTCTCGAACCGCAGCAGGTGCTCTTCCATTGGTTCCGCTTCGCTGTACTTCATTACGGTCAGTTGCTTCTTCGCGAACAAGTTCTGCAACGTTGCCCAGATCGACTTCGGAGTAGACTTGACCTTGATGTACTCCAGCTGCGAATCTGCGATCTTCTCCACCAGCAACGACTTGCAACGAGCTTCCAGAAGTTTCCGCTCCGCCAGCTTGGTCTCCTTCTGCGCCTTTACCTGTGCCGTATCCGTTTCAGCCGCTTGGATCTCCGGAATTTCGTCCGCTTCTCGCCGGATGCAATCGACCAGCTGCCGCTCCTCCAATAACGTCTCCTCCCGGAAACTCCTGTTAGGGAAGTTCTTTCCGTCGAAAAGGTAGGGCTTCTGTTCCGCTTGCATTCTTCCGGTTCTTCATGAAAAAAAAAAATCGACTAACAATCTTCCGTTTCCAAGATTTACAGGATGGCTGGGCCCATAACCTGTTGTGATAGCAGAGAGTTATGCAAAGACGACTACTTCTGTCTGTGGTCAGAGTCGATGTTAGCGCCACGATAGGTCCTGACGTCGATAATGTCGGTGAAGTGCCGTCCATCAATCAGAACGTGGTCGATTTGCGATTCCGTCTGCTGTGGTGATCTACAGGTGTAACGATAGGGGAGGCTGTGTTGGAAGAAGGTGCTACGTATGGCCATGTTCTTGGAGGTGGCGAAATCGATGAGTCGTAGGCCGTTCCCGTTCGTCAGCTGGTTTAGCGTTTAGGTCTCCTATGATGATCTTGGGCAGCGATCGTACTCGCGGTCGAGCTGCGCGTAAAATGTGTCCTTGTCATCATCAGTGCTTCCGGAGTGAGGGCTGTGCACGTTGATTATGCTAAAGTTGAAGAATCGGCCCTTGATCCTCAACCTGCACATTCTTTCGTCGATCGGCCACCAACCGATCACGCACTTCTGCATTTCGCCCATCACGCTGAAATCTGTGCCCAGCTCGCGTGTGTTGCCGCAACTCTGGTAGATGGTATGATTACCTCTAAACGTTCGCACCATGGATCCTGTCCAACACACCTCCAGCAGCGCTACGATGCCGAATCCGCGGTCCTTCAGTAGACTGGCGAGTATTCGGGTGCTCCCGATGAAATTGAAAGATCGACAGTTCCACGTGCCGAGTTTCCAATCGCAAGTCCTATTTCGTCGCTGGGGTCGTTGCCGTTGGTCTCGGTTCGTATTCCTCTGTTGCTGATTTTCCGTAGCAATGCTTTTTTACGGCTGGCTCGCAGGGCCTGACGCCAACCTTCTAACTTTCCGGAGGACCAGGGTGCACAGTTGTGCTTACAGGATCAGCCAGGGGTGCACTCGGACGTAGATCAGCCGCCCCTAACATGCGAAACAGACGCTGTTGTGAGCCGCTCCTCCTGGAGAACAGACGCTCAGGCTTGTCGAAGCAAACCCCCTACCCCCCCCCCCCCTTTCCTGTCAGCCTATGACCAAAGTTCCCCCCTAAGGTTGCTCACAGTTCCCGGCCGGTACCACGGGGAGGTAGGGATAGGAGTTGCTGGGAAGAGGCTAGTGATCTCAATGGGATCCTGTTGCGCATTACCCAGCATTAACCGACCACTATAACCCGTAGTCCGCAAAACTCCAGCTTTTTGCTGCGAAGTTCAGCGTTTTTCAGAAACCGGGAACAAAACTCACTTTGTTACATTTTGTTGCACTTGCACGACCGCGGTTTGGGGCAAAACATGGCAATGCACTTCGTGTTCAATAAATGGTTGGTTGGTTGGTTGTCTTTATTATAGAGATTTTCAGTAATGTTCAATAAACGTTATTCGAAATTTAAGGAAAAATTTCGGGAAAAATAGTTCACCAGTTCACTGAGAATTCAAACGACGTAAAAAACAAACTCATATCATATAGGTACAACGATAAAGTCACGCACAAAGCTGGAACATTTTGCTCCGCGGCAAGTGTTGGCAGCTTTTGTAAACAAAACAAATCATGTTGCCATACTATATTGCTTGAGTTTGGGTGGCTGTGTAATAATTAACTTCCACCAAATACTGTATTCACCTAGATTCTAATGGTCCCTTTTCGATTTTTTTTTATTCTTTCTCCCGAACAGGTTTCAATAATGCATCTAGACACGGCAGCAATACTTCCCGGACACGCAAGGCACATGGTGACGTGTGACTGAACACAAACAATAGCAAGTTCCTTTATCGTCATCCAGGGAAAAGCGTACCACTGCACATCGCGCCCGCATCACAAACAACATTCCATGGTTCTCCAGAAGGAGAAGGAACCAAGAAAGGGCCTGGGGCCTTCACTGCCAACCGGACCGGCAGCATCGGCGGTAGCCGTAACCGGCAGTGGGGCTAGCCCTTCCGATGCAGTCGCCATAATGTCGTCACCTGCTTCGTCGTCGTCGGTGCACCACAACAATGAGCAACCGGTCATCAAACGGCAACGGATCGAAAAGGAATCCGACGTCGTGGATAGCAGTAACACCAGTGTCAACTGTGCGGCCAGTTCCAGTGGGAATTCGTCGAATGGATCATCACTGGTCGCATCCGCCTGTTCCAGTTCCACGTCCCTGTCGTCATCGCCTCCAACGACGTCGTCATCGTCGGCGGCATCATCGACGTCGGGATCGTCTTCGAAAATCTTGGACAGTAGCAATAGTAGTAGTAGTAGCAGCAGCCGCAGCAGCATCGGTGCGGGATCAGATGAAGACGTGCTGCTCAAGCAGGTTCAGGACTACCAGACGCTGTTCCAGGGGGCAATTGCGAAGCAATGTCTCTGCGGGTTGGAAACCGAGGTGCTACTGATGTCGTTTCAATCGTACTACGTTTGCTCCGGGAACAGTTCCCGGGGGGTGCATCGGCAGCTGCTGCCGATGATTGAGTGGCCGTTCGAGTACCTGCTGAAGTTCCTCTCCAACGTGCAGCTGCTGTTCGATACGTACTTGAAGCAGAACATCAAGGGAACCATCTGCTCCGGGGTGATGGATCTGTGTAACTATTTGGTGAGGAGCGAGCATTTACATCCGGACGGCGAGTTTGTCGGGATGAACATCGATGAGATTATAGGATTATGTAACTACAATAACAAGTTTATCAACTACCTGTCCGGACGGATATTGTCGTCGTTCCTGATAATAGTGAAGGACGATTTGGATGATCGCTGGTTGGAGAAAATTGTGGCCAATCTGTTCGATTTCAATCAGCTGGACATACTGGCAGTGAAGAAGGTTAACTTTAGTTTGGACGTCATCCAGAGGATAGTGGAGTGGAAGGACGAGACAGAACATCCGCTGGATGATTACATTCCGGGACAGGAAGCTGGTAGCAGCGGTGCGGGGGCGTCCAGCTCGATGGGATATCATCACTCTCTGCCTGCTGCTGTTCCATCGTTGGAAAGCAATTACTTTGCGACACATTACGGTTCGCAACAGTACGGTAGCGAACCGTCAGTGAGTAGTATTTTTAGTCCTTCGTCGTCGTCAGTACATCCTGCACCAGTGCATCACAGTAGTTTAATAAGTCATCCCTCCGTCCCCCATCCGCTGTCGTCTTCCGGTCAGGTATGCCATATTATCACCCTAACGGATTCGGAAAGTTTCGACACGACCCGAATCAAGTGCGAGACGGTCAACAAGCTTGGGAAAAAGTGGCCAGCGCTGGTGGAGGTTGTCAGCCGGATGATCAAAGCCCTGTCCGGGTCGCAGTCGCAAAACCCTCAAAGCCTAACGGCGATCGCTACCGAAACCTGTATTCTAACATTCCTGCGGCTATGGGAAAGCATCATCAGCGTGAAGGCGAATCTTTCCGTGGTCGAAACGCAACCGTTCCACTCACAATTGGATCACTTCCAGTTGCTTCTGCTCTCCACCAAGAACTCGGTCATCTACAAACAGATGCTGACCCTGTTCAATGAAGCTCTCTGCTACGGAAGTACGCTGGCGCTGCAAGATTTCATCCCGGATGAAGTGGGCAGTTTGGCCCATAATGTGGTCCGTTGCGTCAAAGACCATCGGATATTGGACAAGATGCCCAAGTCGACGTACACCAGTCCGTTGGGACTCATCGGGTACAAAGGAGAGTTGATACGGTATCATGACAGCAGGTTATCTCCGGTGTCCGATCAGAATGGTCGCGTTCCCTCCTCAGGTGAATGTCTTGCTGCTGGAAACAGTGGTGGTCCCGGAAGTACCAGTCACAGCAGCAGCAGTAGTAGTAGTAGTAGTAGTAGTAGTAGTAGTAGGGGTGTCGCAACCGTTGTCACCTGCGGCTACGATCGTACTTTGATGCAGAAAATGGCTCTGCTGGTGCTGAAGGCGGTCGCCGTCATAGTCAAGGAAATCCGATGCGATTCGAGCGACTCCAGCGTCGATAGTAGCGATTTCGACATGCAAGAAATCCAGATGATCGAACGCAGTATTCGGGACGTGGTGCGGAAGCTGGAAACGTTCCTGAAAATTCAGCTCGAGTTCCACCCGGACAATCACTTCAGCAAGGTGCTGATTCACCTGTTCGACGATCAGGACGACTACCTGGTGGAGGCAATGGTGTGTACGCTGGACGTCACGTCCGGAATTTCGTTCCGGAACAATGCCTTCCCGGAGCTGATCGCCATCCTGAATCCGGTTTATACCTTCATCGAGTTTTCCAACCTGGGACCGAACATCACCCATCTGTTCCTGGATCTGCTCATCAGCACGGAGACGTGTTTCTTGTTGTACCTGCTGCGCTTGCTGAAGTACGTCCGCCAGAATTGGTCCATGTTTACGCAGAGCTGCCTGACCTACTCGCAGCACAACAACTACAGCAACGCGAGCACGCTACTGCAGAGTATCCGAAACACCAACATCGTAATCAACCCGAACAGCCAGAACGTGATCCTGGACAGCGTGATGACGGTGCTGATCAGTTTGCGGTTGCAGATCAGCCGCCAGGTTGCTGACGCCATCTTCCCGTACAACATCGGGCCCATCCTGAGGTTGATCGAGAACTGCGAGAGTCTGTACGAGGGTAATGAGTTAAGTTGAGGTGAGTACCCGATTACTGCTTGTTGTTTTGCCCGCCCAGAAGAAACGCGCAGAAGAGGGAGGGGAACGGCTCCGTTATTCTCCAGTGTGTATTTATTCATATTAGTTTGTTAGCGAATTACAATGTTTGGTGCGGAAAACAATTTCAATATAATGAAACTTTTTTAAACGATGAATATCGGTTTGAATTTTAGAGAATGGCTGGGAAAGAAATACGCTGACTTCCCAATCGGCGCTAGTAGAGGGTATGTCTGTAACGCATTTAGTTTAGATGGCAAATTGATAATGGTGGTTCATTGAGCTCGATTTTGGAATGGAGACTTGGATAAGCAAGCGATAGCTCTGTTTCCGTGGCACCTGTGGGTAGGTTTATCCAATCAATAGTTGTAAGCCAAGTCCATCTTTAGTCTAATTCTATGGAAGGCCGAAGCCCAAATCCTTCTGATTTTCCATCGTTTCCGTACGGTCAGATTTTGCCCCAGTTCGTACAAAACTCTGTTTCCAAGGAAGTAGCATTTGGAATGACCAGGCTTCGACCGCCTTAACCCGCGCCTTTCCATGATAGCACAGGGGATCCATAACGTTTTGGGTTTGTCTCTTTGTTTGTCAATCTGCCATTAGGTAGTCAGTAGAAATACTCAGAGGGGGAGAGATGGGCGGATAAAACAAAATACAATTCGGCAGCAGGGATTTGTACCTAAATTATCTTGCAACCCTTGCTAGAAGCTAGCATATCACATGACTTTTACTTTTGATTTAATTTACGTGCAAAATAATAATAGAGTGCATCGCAATATTTTGCATATTTCTTGGTGCCATTAGTTAACCAACTAAGATCAATTAATCAATAGAGTTAGAATATTGTTTTTAATTACTGCATTCAGCACTTCACAACCATATTTTGAGTATAACATAATGCGTATTGTTGAGGGCATTTTACCACATGCCAATTTAATAAGTAAAATAACCTCAGCATGGGTGAGATTGGAATCATACAGCACTTTAATATTCTCGTCAGCAGATTTGAGTGTCTTGGCCTGAAGTTTAGACATTGATGGACCAGGCAATGTACTTATGTAGCCAACTACCCAACCAGCCGGCGCCGGTGGTGTAGTGGTAAGCGTGACTGCTTTCTAACACCCCGATGGGTCTGGGTTCAATCCCAGCCGAGGTCGGTGGGATTTTTCTGAGGCATAAAAATCTCTGGTCACGTCTTCCTTCGGAAGGGAAGTAAAGCCGTTGGTCCCGGCCCATGTGTGTTGAATGGGTGCGATATCCTACGCAGGTGTGGAAAGCTGCCTTCCTGCACATTCGATTGCCGTCAATGGATGGCAATCGATGTCCGTCGGTGATTGGCACTAGATTGCGGAACAGAGACCGACGTTAAATAAAGGAAAGAACTACCCAACCAGGGATTTTGCCAATGGATCTGCCATTAACAATAGGTATGTCACTATCACAAGAACAAACTTCCTTAACCATTGTGCAATGTTCATGCCTTGCACAATCAATGCCCGAAAATTCACCCAAGACAGGATTTAGTTTTTTTTGAGCCAAATGTGCTGATACCATGGCTTGAACTGCTTGGACCTCCTTGTCAATAACATCATATGCCCACTCTTGTGGGACTCCACCTGTTGCGAACTCTGCCATCTTCCTAAACAGATCCTTTGCATATGGTTTGTGTGCTGAAACATATTGTTTTGTGGTCTTGTTGCTGATTGACTTCTTCAGCTTATCATCAGTTAGTGCATATGTGGCAGTATATGCACAGAGCAGTGCAATATCCATTCTTGAGTGAGGTAGATGTTGGCCTTTAGATTGAGCAGAAGAGTTAATTGCAATAATTAAATCCTCTTTCCTGGCATAAACACCCTGAATCAATGCATCATTATGCATATCGTCAATAGATTTGCGGGAGAAAATTGCGCCAGCAAGTGGAGTCAGGACAATGTAATTAGCCTCGACTGCAATAGGTGTGTATGTGTTCAAAATATGAATGGCAACCAAGGAAATTTGTTTCATTGTAAGAGTGATTCCTCTGTTCACTGAAACTTTGGGGGCATCAAGTGGTGCTGCAACACTTTTGAATGTTGCACAAGTGATAGTGCCTTTAATATGGTACTTATCTTCAGGTTCGGTTATATTTCTTGACCAAAAGTTCATCATGGCTTCAAACTTCTTGCCATAAAAATGTTCATTTTTGTTGGCAGCTGTGATTTTCTTGTCATCTGGTACAGTCGAATTGTACAATGTTACTGCATCAGTTGCCATTTTTTCAAGCTGTAGCTTTGTGTAAACATGATATGATCTCATATTTCAGTGTTTATCAGAATCCTGTCCAGCCTTGATCTGTCTTGTAGCTGGTGCAATATGGTAGATTACAAGCTCCATCAGATTGAGTGCCTTGTTCAAGCACAACCTACGATGACGAAGACACCCAAAGCAAACCCTGTTTCTCGCACCCTGTCAACCAGGATTCCGACTATGTTGCATCATGTGTTACGTCTGTCATCGTTACGAACTTGCATTGGACACGTACACACTCCGACTCACTTAGAATCAGCAGAGAAGATCCTGAAGCCACATTACTACGAACTCAACGTACGATACATCATCACTACTAACACCGGACTCGCCAATTCTCCGCTCAGTTTGTCTCTTCTCGCATTTCTTCAATTTGCTTGAAGTCAAGCACTTTCGCGTGCAGCTACAACCGCTGTACCACAGAATTAACGAATCACACTTCCCGCAACGCACTCCACGTGGTTGGGCTGGGAGATTTGCGTGCAACCCACCATGAGGTTGCACCATAGGATTAGTTGCCTCGTCACAATTACACAACTGCCAATCTTCCATTTTGGAATTCTGTTCCTCGACACACCTTACGTGCTCGGACCGGAGGAATTCACCTTTGCGTGCAAACCGCCTTGGAATGCACCACAAGATTGGCTGTTAACTGCAATACACACCGGTTCAGGATCCCGATACTCTCAAACTTGCAAGCAAGTCATCGTAGTACCATCTATTACAAACCATCAGACCATGTTGTATGTTCGTCGTAGGTGATGGTGACCAGTTACGCGATTCCATAGACGAAGGTTGTCGAAAAGATATGAGGAAAGAATTTGGGTCTGTTGTTTTCCGGGTCGCTGTCGTTGTCACTGCGTTTATTATTCTGTGCGTGCATTCTGGGTCATAGCGCAAAAGGAAAACATGTGGTTGCAATAATTTGACTGTTTATATTTCTGTGGAACAACAAGTGCGGATGGCAATTTTGTTTGGTTTACAAGTGGCTCGACTTTGTAGATTCAATTTGGTTGATTTATAGTATGCTACATTTTGTTTATGATGCGAAGGTCATCTGCATCGGGGTTGCCTGCCAGCCATTTCCATGCTCATCCCAGTGAGTCCCAGCGTTTTTTCCTCTTCCTGTCGGTCGGTTTGACCTGTAGCAGTGTGATATGACTGATCACTCCAGTGGTTGGTTCGAGAATAATTGTATATTTCGTCATATTTGTTGCTTACAGCTAAACGGTTGGTGTCGACCCGCAGCTTATCAGCTGAGTCAGCACAGTCCCACGTTCGATATCGGGTACAGTACGCTTATGCTTGCGTAGCATAAACAACTGCACCGTTTCGTCAACGAACGACTAATGCTCTGACATAAGCGTAGCTAGGGGTATCCACCACACCGGGTTTATACTCTAGGGTATAGTCGTGTTGCTCTTAGTATGATTTCATTCGTTTTAATTTGAAGTTGGAATGTTTCGATGAAAGCGCAACTTCCATTGGCTCCACCTTTGAGGGCTGTTGTTGTGTTCTGAATGGATTTGGTTGGAATGCATTTTGGGGAAATGGATTCGGTCTGAATGGATTAGTTGAAACCATTCTGGGTGATGGAAAATAATTTTGGGACTGATTCATAGGGTGTCCTTGGGGGAAGAGGAGGTAAAAGCATCCTAGGTTGATTTTGCACTCTAGATGGTAATTCTGGGAGAACTCGCGGTTTTGGTACGGGTTGTCCAGAAAATTCGTTTCTGTGCATGGTGCGAAGCGAATGTCCATGTTATGGTATTCTACACAGCAATGGTAGGCTTTTAACGTTGCTGGACTTGTACTTTTTAACAGTATGCTTAGAGGTTTATCCAACCCTCTTATGAATTTGAGATGGTCTTCGCTGGGAACTTCTGTCTGTGGAGAGAAACCAGGCAGTCACTTCGGGGTTGTCCTGTTTGCTGCGGTGCTACTAGGGGTCCTGATGACGATCGAGCCGGATGGCTACGGTGTCCTGATTTCTGCTTTGGTTGATATGTGCTTGGCTCCTCGGACCAATCGCTGGAATCTGTGATATTCCACTTTTAAGGATGTTACCGCGGAACTTATACGATTTCCACTTCGGCAGGTCCCTATTCGAGCGCCAGTTAAAGTTTTGAACGTCGGAAGTTCTTTAAAAAAAAAGATCTTCTCACTACTGCTGCCACCTAAAGACTACTTTATTCAATCACTACAGGGAACCTAGCACTCGCGAAAAGTGTCCACTATGCAAGTCCGGAGTCCAATCGATCGCCCGATTGCGGAATGCTGATGAAGCTCGCTGCTGTTGCCGTTCTGTGCATCCGTCCTAGATGCTGACGAAAGCACCGACGATGGAATTTGCCAAGTGCGGTTGGCACCGGCGTTAACTCCCTCTCCCATTCGGTAGCCGGATGACTTCGTTAATCTGCTGCCGTGGTGTACTGTATGGAAAGGGTCATATGTTGCTTCTTCTGGGTCACTGCCCACTCTCACTGCAAAACTTGTATTCCGCTCCATTCTTCTTTTAAAAAACACGAACAGTAAGTAAACTGTTACCATCATGCTGAAATATTTCATTTCTATATTCGGTTCCCATATCCGTTTTAATTATGGAAGGTGAACCATATTTTAAAATTACATTTTCGACGAATGCTTTAGCAAGAGTATTCGCCTGCTTATCAACTATTGGAGCTACTATAACATATTTAGATAATTCGCATTGGACCGTCAATGCATATCGATTACCTTTTAAGGATTTAGTAAATGGACCAATTGTATCCATTGAAATTGTTTGAAATGTTCTTTCTGGTGTATATGTATGGGTAAATTGTTCTTTTGTCTTGATCGTATGCTTATTCTGTTTACAGAATACACATGATTTTATGAATTTGGAAATTATGGACTTCATGTTTGTCCAGTAAAAGTTTCTTCTCAGTCTTTGGATTAATTTATTGATACCGACATGTCCTCCTAAGGGTGTCACGTGGTTTTCTTCAATAATTCTTAAAATTTCATTCTCGTCTTTAATTATTTGTGCTGGCTGGTAGAATATAAATTGAACGTTCGTTAGCACTTCGTTACATATCTTCTTAAAGTGTTGCGCATTGGTTAGCGAGAATATAATATCCGTTTTTGCAATTGCTATTTGCTTGATTCGTGATTCATTGGCCACATCGTTTATGATATGAAGGTACCTTTCGATATTCGGTTCTTTCAGTGCATAAGGAAATTGTGCTTGAACAATTACCTTTTTCACATTTTTTGTATAAATTGTCGCATGTAGGTCGTTTCCTTGGGTTGAAAAAATGAGTTTTGGCAAATTAAACGCGTCGATGTTGTTTATATAATCGTATGCCATGAGGTGATCAATCTCATCAGCATTTTGAGTTCTACTTGCCATTTGTTGAGGTGTTTTAGTCATAGATCTGGTTTGTACTGACAATACATGCAGATTTTTGAGTTCTTCGGAGTCCGTAGTGATACGTGATAAAGCGTCAGGTCCGACATTTTCTTTACCTTTCACGTATTCAACCTCGAACGTGAATTCCTCTAAATCTACTCTCATTCGAGTCAGTTTAGAAGATGGATTAGTCATTGAAAATAAATAAACTAGTGGGCGGTGGTCTGTTCTGATCACGAATTTTCTACCATATAAGTATGGTCTAAAATACATGATAGCCCAATGAATAGCTGTTAGTTCCTGTTCAATAGTCGATTTATTACTTTCTCCTTTTGTAAATGATCGACTAGCATATGCGACTGGTAAGTCTATGTCGCCATACCTTTGTGAC